ACCAGAGACATTACGACGACACAGACAACAGCAAGGTAAAGAGCCTATTTATGGTCCTAGCCAGACCTGTCCTATTTATGGTCCTAGCCATCACTACCTGTATCAAAAGATACACCTGGCTGGTTCATTGGGACTTCAGTGTAGACGCAGAAGTTCTTCATGGAGCTCTTTGCTGGATAAAGGTGGCCATACCTAATGCAAAGTATTGACAGCTCTTCCTGTCCAGCTGCTCTCTTAAACATACTGGTGATGAGCATTGGCTAACTGCAAAACGAGGCATTCAGATCCATATAGCTGGTCCCATTCTGCTTCATTCTTTTTGGTCAAGCAGTGTTTGATTCTGTACACCAACTGAACTTTAGTTTACCTTCACTTCTACAAGATTACTGCCAATTAGAGTTTTATGATGGGCAGTCGTTGTGGCTAGGACCTTACCTGGCCCCAATATTGGCAGAGTCGCAGATGTTCTTTGACTCTGAGGGACCAATTTGGCAACTGTTTAATTCGTTGTTTAGTACTTTAAGTGAATTTCCTGACAGGACAGAGCAAACTGTGGGTCAGATCTTCAACTGCTGCCACCGAGGACAACAACAACAGAAAATTATTGCCAGATGAAAGCAAGAGGTCCTCCTAGTCCCATAGTAAATTTGGTCAGCCGGATAGGTGCCTCTGGTAAACTGGAAATGGTACCAACAGCCTTCCTGTGTGATGTTCTGATGATGTAGTATTCAACACTACACAAGGGGAACATAGTAGAATCCATTTAGCCATCCTGAATAATAATCATTGCCAGACCTATTTGTCATTCCTTTGCCTCTTTCTTTTTAAAGCTGTAAACATAACTGGCAACCATCCCATCTTGGGGCCTTGAACTCCAAAAGCTTAAATGTATTGTATGGAGAACTGTGTTCTTTGTGACTGTTCTACACTTATCACCAGATACCTTTAACCACTAATATTCATGTCAGATTTACAAGACTTCCTTAAGCCATTTAAGGCAAGGTATAAACTCTCAATTACTTCAATGAAATCAGGATATTAGTGCCCACACAGGCTGCGGCCTTCAAGCCAAAGAGCTGAGCCTGCTGGAACCAGCACTATTGTATGATTTGAGAAAGGCAATTAAGTCAGTTTGTATTTTATCAGTACTTATTTATTAACATGGTTTGAATGGGCTTTAAAGAGTTTCATATTTATGCTGAATTAGCAACGAATATGGCTGCCAACCTCCATGTGGGAGCTGGAGATCTCTTGCTATTACAACTGATCTCCAGGTGACAAATCAGTTCATCTGGATAAAATGGCCGATTTGGAAGGTGGACTCTGTGGCATTATACTTCATTGAAGTCCCTCCCCTCCCCAAACCCCGCCCCTCTCAGGCTCCCCCCCCAAATCTCCAGTTATTTCCCAGCCCAGAGCTGGCAACCCTAGCAATGGAAAGTATTATGGCTCCATAAAGATTAACACAATTAGCCTGGGTTATACAGCCCACGGAGCTGCGGTGGCTCAAGTGGTCAAGACGCTGAACTGCAGGCTGTGGAAGGTCAGTAGTTCAGCAGTTCGAGACCCGAGTGTGCCACATGACGGAGTGAGCTCCCGTCTCTAGTTCCAGCTCCTGCCAACCTAGCAGTTCGAAAGCAAGAAATTGCAAGTAGATAAATAGGTACCGCTTTGGTGGGAAAGTAACAGCGTTCCGTGCACCTTGGTGTTTAGTCATGCCAGCCACATGACCACGGAAACGTCTTCGGACAGCGCTGGCTCTTCGGCTTTGAAACGGAGATGAGCACCGCAACCCTAGAGTCGGACTTGACTGGCTTTCGAGCAAGGGAACCTTTACCTTTACCTTTTTATACAGCCCACAGCAGAGGATGTATGAAATGCTTGCCTAACTTGGCAGACATATACATCTTGATGGAAATATGACAGGTTTAAAATGGGGGATGGGATCAAGGATCACAAAACATAAGGGCACTGTTCTGCAGCAGGGCAAAAGCTCATCTAATAAATTCGTTAGCCTTGAGGTCACCGTGATAATCTTATTTTTGCCTTGGCAAGCTATCACTCTGCTACTATTCCTTCTGCCAGAGTTTCTGCGTTGCTTTGCACTGTTTAATGGTAAGATGGCAGCACTGGACAAAACTTTGCCAGAGTTGTTTCCATATCCCTCTCCTTCCCATCTGCCTGGCATGTGAAAGGTCCCAGGTCTGATTCTTGGTGTCTTCATTTAAAAGGATCAGGCAGCAGGTGTGTGAAAGACCTCCACCCTGAGACCCTGGAGAGCTGTTGCCGTTCAGAGTGGACAAGATGGACCTGGATAGACCAGTGGTCTGACTGTATAGGGCAGCTTTGTGTGCTTGTATTCAAGACCCCAAAAAAGATTAACCAAAGCCATTAATGCAGCTTTCAGTCCCCATTATAAATATCCTTTTACTCACACCATTTGAATTTTTTTAGAATTAAAGTTCTAGTGTATTTGCCAGTGGTGCATTGACATTTTTGTGTGTGGTGCTTTTACAAATGCTTGTATGGAATACAGAATGTCTTCCTTACAAAAAGCAGTACCCCCCCAACCGAGTAACAGCATCATCTGTCGGTATCTTACAGGGAGATAAATTGCTGTTACCTGCCATTTACTTTACTTATAGCATATCTTTCTTAGTAGATATTTAAGATGTCTTTTAAATGTAATGATTATACAAAATAAAAAACGGAGTGAATACTTGGTCTATTTTTAACTATTCCTAAATAATAGCCTATGGCCATACCACCTTGAACATGCCCGATCTTGGAAGCTAAGCAGGGTTGGGCCTGGTTAGTACTTGGGTGGGGGACTGCCTGGGAATACCGGGTGCTGTAGGCTTTTTATGAATGGAGCTGCAGTGGCTCAAGTGGTTAAGACGCTGAACTGCAGGCTGTGGAAGGTCCGTAGTTCAGCAGTTCGAGACCTGGGTGCCACATGACGGAGTGAGCTCCCGTCTCTAGTTCCAGCTCCTGCCAACCTAGCAGTTCGAAAGCAAGAAATTGCAAGTAGATAAATAGGTACCACTTCGGTGGGAAGGTAACAGCGTTCCGTGCGCCTTGGTGTTTAGTCATGCAGGCCACGTGACCACGGAAACATCTTCGGACAGCGTTGGCTCTTCGGCTTTGAAATGGAGATGAGCACCGCAGCCCTAGAGTCGGATTCGACTGGCTTTCGAGCAAGGGAACCTTTACCTTTAAATAATAGCAGCCCGATAGCCCAGACAAGCCAGATTTCATCAGAACTCAGATGCTAATCGGGGTTGGTACTCGGATGGGAGACCACCCAGGAAGTCCGGGGCTGCTATGCAGAGGAAGGCCATGGCAAACCACCTCTGCTCATCTCTTGCCTTGAAAACCTCATAGTCCTTGGGAAACCGTGAGTTGGGTATGATTGACAGCACACATTAAATCATTTCAGTGGAAATAACTTCATAGCCTTGACGATAGATCCAGGTGGGTAGCCGTGTTGGTCTGAAGCAGCAGAACAAAGTTGGAGGCAATGGCACCTTTAAGACCAACAAAGTTACCGGTAAATGTTGGGCATAAGCTTTCATGTGCCTGCAGAGTTCTTCAGAATTCCCCATTAAGAAAGGGATAATTCCTTTTTACACAGGCTTGTTAGGCTTTTAAAAAAGGGCTTGGAATGAACCACAACAGGAATGGCTCATCATCCAACCAGACAAACTTTTGCCTTGCGGAACTTCACCTTTTTCATTTAAAGACACACCCTCCCCCTTCCTCCAAGGAATACTAGGCTTCTTTCATCCTCACAACACATCAATGATCTACAGATCATTGGCACTTCATGGTAGAGAAGCAACTTGAACCTGCATTTCTGAAAAAAGAAATCAGTGAATTCATGGTAGGATATGCTTCTGAGAATGTTTGGCTTCAGGTTGGTGTCCTGGGGCCAGGACACTAGAAGCCCTCCCACTGTTGCCCCCCCCCCAAGCACCAAGAACACAGAGCATCACTTGCCCCAGCCTGAGAGTTCCTATCTATACTTTGTGGCTAATACCCACTGATGGACTTCTGCTCCATATGCTTATCTAATTCCCTCTTGAAGCCGTCCATGCTTGTAGCCACCACCACCTCCTGTGGCAGTGAATTCCACGTGTTAATCACTCTTTGGGTGAAGAAGTCCTTCCTTTTATCTGTTCTAACCCGACTGCTCAGCAATTTCATGGAGTGCCCACAAGTTCTTGTATTGTGAGAAAGGGAGAAAAGTACCTCTTTCTCAACATGCTGTATCCCATACATAACCTTATAAACCTCGATCATGTCACCCCTCAGCCATCATTTCTGCAAGCTAAAGAGCCCCAAGCGTTTTAACCTTTCTTCATAGGGAATGTGTTTCAACCCTTTTATCATTCTAGTACCCTTGGGGTCCCTACCAGCTTTGTTTCTAAACATTACCTCATCCTCCTGCAAAAAAAAGGTATTAGAAAGCTTGAGAACTTTTATATTTCCCGAACAGGTTTTTGTTAAAGCCAGCCATTTTTACCCATTTGGTTCTTCTGCACGATATCAGAGCAGCAGCACTCTTCAGCTTCAGCTTCAGGGAAGGGTTGGATTATAGAATCAGAACATGGGAAGCTCTTCTATAACGATCGAATGTATGGTACCCTTCTAATGATCAGTCCTTTTAAGTGACACTGCTGCCAATGGAAGAGATTCCAGCATGCACTCAACTCTCCCACTGAAATCCATGCAACTTAAAAAGTGTAATTACCCTGAAGCTGCTTTGTGTTTAAGCTCCGATTGTTACAACCGGTGAGTGGAACAAATCAACAACCCAGGTTTTCCCTGCATTATTTGTGACCTTATCATTAAAACTACTATAGCTGGTGAAGCCAAAATTCACAGCAAGGGAGAGATTTCTTGTAAAATCAGTCAGAAAAGACCAGGTCTGAATGTAAATGCTGCACCAAAAATGCTGGTTGGTTCTTATTCAAGAAAAGCATGACACACCACAAGCATTTTCAAGAAATTCTGTTTACTAGCATGATGATTTACACAACTGCAGAGAACTTTTCACAGACAGGATGAGCTGCACAGCCTTTGTTTTGCCTGTTATAATTCATGCCCTGTAAGAGAATTAAAACACACACAATAAATATAGTTGCAAGTTCCAGTGTGTTATTCTCAACACTTTTGAGGTTCACTAATCCTCTGGGTGCATTATTCCAGCAAGTGTAAAACATTCCTAAAGAACACTGCAATGACTTCTGCCCAGGTTTCACAGTTATCTGGTGGACTTTGACCAGGCATTATTGCGACTCGACTGAAAAGGAGACTCCAAAAATTGGTTTTCTACCAAAAAGAAAGGAAAACACTAGAAGCAGATGTGAAGCCCAGTGGCGGGAGGCTCGTACTTTTCAGCTGTTCATTACAAGGTTATGAGTTGATATACCCAACAGCAGCAAGCTCATAGAACAGAAGAGACTCTTTTTACGGGAAGAGTTGTGCCACAGTGGAATCAGCTGCCCAGGGAGGTGCTGAGCTCCCCCTTGCTGGCAGTCTTCAAGCAGCGACTGGACAAACACTTGTCAGGGACGCTCTGGGCCGATCCTGCATTGGGCAAGGGGTGGGACTAAATGGCCCCTTCCAGCTCTGTGATTCGATGACTGTAGACCAGGAAAGAGGTTCATCAGCCAGTGCCATGTGAAGTGCTGAGCAAACACAAACATGGACTGACAGTGCAATCCTATCAGTGGACTCAGACTGGAGTAACTCTGCGTAGGACTCAGCGACTTGATCTGAAGGACTCTGGCTGCTGAGACCAGATCTGGCACCGGGACTCTTATAGATCACAGGCGTCGGGCTGTGGCCTTAAATCCCCATGGAGTTTAGTCTGGGCTATGTTTGTTTAGCACGAGGCGACTTGTCCTAGTTAGATACAGAAGGATCATAAACGGCAGCAGTGCTGGATCAGACCAATGGTCTCGCTAACCCATCCTCCGGTTCCCCCAGAGCGGCCAGCATGACACCCCCAGAAGGCCTACAAGTCGGGCACAGAGATCTGAGCCCCCCCAGGCACTGCAATGCAAAGGGCTACTACCTTGGCTGTCTTCAGCACATCAGTTGCCAGACCTAAATTAGGATAGGGCTAGTTCCAGCGGGTGACTGTGTCAGCCCGCAGTAGAAAAGACAGATTCAAGTCTGGTAGAACCTTAAAGGCCAACCCAGATTTTCGGGGCCTGAGCTTCTGAGAGCCAAAACTCCCCTTGTCGCATTTGAATCTGGCATGGCTGTCACTGCAGCCCTCCTATCTCGATACTTAAAACTGATGCAGAGGGTTTATCGTTGATGTGACCCAAGGAAAGAGCAGCAGCAACGAGGCTCACTTAGTGACTTGGGAGCCACCTGTGGCTCTTCTGTTCCCCCCAGTGTGGCACCAGCTCCACGTTTCAGGGAAGTGGCTGAGGCCGTTGCCCAGTGGGGGCTGTGGTTGGCAGTTGGTTCCCACCTTGGAATCACTGCTGCTAGAAGAATGGTTAAAGCAGAAAGGCCAAGAATGGAAGTTTGGTGCAGTGGTTAGGACCAGGTTTGATTCCCCACTCCTCCACATGCAGCTACTGGTGTGACCTTGGGTCAGTCGCAAGCAATTTTCAAAGCTGTTCTCTCAAGGGCAGTTCTTGAAAGAGCTCTCTCAGCCCCACCTACCTCACAGGGTGTCTGTTGTGGGGAGGGGAAGGGAAGGGAGATTGTAAGCCGCTCTGAGACTCCTTTGGGTAGTGAAAGGCGAGGTATAAATCCAATCTCTCTCTCCCCCCCCACACACACACGGATCTTTTGGATGATGGTAACTGCAAAGGTGGCTTTCTGCAAGCCACAGAGTGAATATTTATATTTATAATTTATTTATAATTTGAATTTATAAAATGCCATCCCCTGAATACAAGGGTTCAGGGCCGTGAACAACACAATGATAAAAAAACATTTCTAAACAGTAAAACAATTTAAATAATACATAAATAATACACGGATAAAACCTTCTCAGATGGCGCTAACACCTACGGTTTCCAACGGTGTCACTGCCTCGCAGGGAGGTACAGAAGCAGATGGGGGGGGGGGGGGACTGCCAGGAAGATGGTACCTGCTGCTGTCCTCAACCAAAAGCCTGGTGGAACATCTCTGCCTTGCAAGACCTGCGGAACTGCATTAAGTTTAAATTGCATGCAGAAAGGTATCGGCTGGATATTAGGAAAAACTTTTTCACAGTCAGAGTGGTTCAAAGGTGAAATCAGCTGCCTAGGGAGGTGGTGAGCTCCCCTTCACTGGCAGCTTTCAAGAAGAGGCTGGACGGATATTTGTCAGAGACGCTTTAGGCTGGTCCTGCATTGGGCAGGGGGCTGGACTAGATGGTCTCTATGGCCCCTTCAAACTCTGATTCTAAGTCCTGCAGGGCACAGATGTTATTTGACAGAGAGCTCCTCCAGGTGGAAGCCAGGGAAGGAAAGGCCCTGGCTCTGGTAGAGGACAGCCAGATGTCTTTTGGGCTGGGATCACTAACAGATTGTTCTCTGCAGAGCATAACGCTCTTTGGGGGACATACCAGAGGAGACGGTCCCGAAGATTCATGGGTCCCTGACCACTCAAGGCCTTAAACGTCCGTGCCAAAACCTTGAACCTGACTCAGTCCTCCACTGGAAGCCAGTGCAGCTAACGCAGCACAGACTGAATATGTGCTGGCCGTGATGTTCCAGGCAGGAGCCACGCTGCCACATTCTGAATACCACCGAGAGACAGTTTTCTGACCGTGTCTGAACAAAGCAGATGTCACTGCAGAAGAGGAAAGCTATTTTTAAACCACACGGTGCTTTGCCTCTTCAGCAGCACAAGTATCAGGCAAGATTCCAGGTGCCCACCTCATCCTCTTTGTACCTAGTTTTATCGCTATCACAAATTCCTGCTTGGATATGTGAAATATCATTAGCGTAGTTACTAAACAGTGTCCAAAACAAAAACCCGTTCTCCAGAGGCTTTGCACAGGGCTCCATCATCACACCCAGAGCTTCTCTTCCAGGCCTTTCACAATCTGGTGAGAAGCTAAATAAGCGAGCTCCGCTGCGAGGAAACAGGATTACCTGCACGTCATTCTTTTTTGGGCTTTACTATTTTTACGCTGGCTCCTGCTACCTTCTCTGCCTCTGCTTTATATTGCGGCTTCAGCGCAGCTCTCACTGCCTTGGCGCAGATCTGGGAATACCGGATGTAGCTGAGCAAAAAAGAAAGAAAGAGAGGCAGTGAAATTCTGCACAATTCTTGCTGTGTGAAAAGTAGCTCAAAGGACTTTCAGGAGCAATTAAGAGAAAGGATATTTTTATTAATTTATTAAATTTATATGCCACCTCTCGCCACCAGGTAGTTTTTTTTTTTTTGCCACTAAGTAGTCTTGAGGTGGCTAACAGTTAAAACATTAACAAACATTAACAGTTAAAACATTAATAAACCTCAGTTTAAAAATTAATACAAATAGAACGAAAAGGTAACCCACATAAACAAACCCAACTAACAAAAAGCCAAGCGAGCTTTGTTTTGCAGGCCCTGAGGAATGTAGGTAAGTCCCACAGGGCCTACGTATCATCTGACAGCTGGTTTGAACAGGACGGGGCCATCCCAAAGAAGGCCCTCGCTTGGTGGATGCCAGGTGAACGTTCCAGAGGCCAGGCACCACAAACATGTTGAAAGTTGAAGAATGCGCATTTCGGGGGGGGGGGATTGGAAAACGCAGTCCACCAAATTTGAAAATCCCAGACTGTTTAGGGCTTTAAAGGTAATCACCAGCACTTTGAATTTGATCTGGAACTCAAACAGCAGCCAGTGCAGCTGCTTCAAGTTAGGGTAGATATAATCCCTCCAAGGAGAACCCATCAGCAATCTTGCACCTGCATTCTGGACTGCCTGTAGTTTCTGGAGCACCTTCAAGGGCAGCCCTACATAAAGCGCATTACAGTAGTCTAGGCAGGAAGTGACCATGGCATGAATCACCATGGCTAGGTTGGAATGGGACAGATATGGAGAGAGTTAAGTGGCCTTGGTGCAAACAGAAAAATGCTATCCTTGTCACTGTTGACATCTGCTTGTCCAGAGACAAGAAGGAGTCAAGCCAGACCCCACTAAGGAAAGTTAAAGTAAAGGTAAAGGTTCCCTTGCTCGGAAGCCAGTCGAATCCGACTCTAGGGTTGCGGTGCTCATCTCCGTTTCAACGCCAAAGAGCCAGCGCTGTCCGAAGACATTTTTGTGGTCATGTGGCCAGCATGACTAAACACCAAGGCGCATGGAACGCTGTTACCTTCCCACTGAAGTGGTACCTATTTATCTACTTGCAATTTCTTGCTTTCAAACTGCTAGGTTGGCAGGAGCTGGAGCTAGAAATGGGAGCTCACTCCGTCATGCGGCACACTCGGGTCTCGAACTGCTGAACTACCGACCTTCCACAGCCTGTTCAGCGTCTTAACCACTTGAGCCACTGCAGCTCCTTAAGGAAAGTTAGACCCCGTCAAAAAACAGGAGCTAAAGGCCCCCTGGAGATCATGTCCTCTCCAGCCACATGATCTCTATCTTAGACGGATTTCACTTCAACCAGCTCTGCTTCAACCAACGAACCATGGCCTCAAAGCAACAGGCCTGATCTACCAGTGCACAGTTCGGCTGCTTATCCAGCAGGAGAAAGATCTGAGTATCATCTGCATATTGGTGGTATACAACTCCAAACCTCCTAACAAGCTTAGGTACAATAATGTGCGAAAGGTTAATTAAAGACTGGAATTAAATTCCTGGTGGCAGGGATAGATACTTTGAGTGAGAGAGAAAAACAAGAAATTTAAAACCACATCATACCTAACCACACAAAATAGAGAGAGGTACTGTCACAAGCCCCCTTTAAAGCTATTTGCATTCACAGCCCTCACTACTGCTACTAGCAATGAACTCTACGTACAATTACTCATCCTAGTTCAACACTGTCTGTTACATGATACTAGGGTTGCCAGATCCCCCCTGGCCACCAACGGGGATACGGAAGTAGGGTTGCCAGATCCATGTTGGGAATCTCCTGGAGATTAGGGATCGAGCCTGGGGAGAGAACAGGGACCTCAGTGGAGTACAATGTCATAGCATCCACTGTCCAATGCGTCCATTTTCTCTGGGGGAACTGATCTCTGTAGTCTGGAGATGAGCTGTAATTCCAGGGGATCCTCAGGTCCCACCTGGAGGCTGGCATCCCTACATGATATGGTTACAAATAACTTGCTTTTTTTTGGGAAATTTACACTTCTCATCCAGCCCCCTAATTTGAATAGATTTTAATATGCATAACGTTTTGGATGCATATTTTGATTTAAAAATAAATTTATTGTTTGTATGAAGCAACCAAGGAATGAAAGAGGTTGCCATATAAATGCAATATGATGTTGCCGTACTTTTCCCAAGCGATCCTGCATTTTCCCCCTTGAAGCCTTTGGGAATAAAAAGGAGGAGAACCAACAGAATCCCACCCGCTTTCCCCAGGAGCTGCCACCGCCTCCCTGCCGGTCTTCACTGCTACGGCCACCAGGTCGCAGGGAGAAAGAGCCGCTCCAGCCACCCCTACCTGAGCCCTGCCTGCCTCCAATAGGCCACCATGGCTGCTGTGGAAAGCGCGGCGGTCTCCCCAACGTCCCTTTCGCCAAAGGCCGCAAGGACACCACGCCAGGCCGGCTCCCTTTCCCTTGACGTCGGAAGCGGAAGTCAAGAGGACCAATCAAAACACGCGCGGTCGCCGCGAACTCTGCTAGCCAATCACTGCGCGCCTTCCCTCAGGTTCCGTCAAAAAGGACCAATAACTTCTCGACTCTCCCCTCCCTTTTTCCTGTAATGATAAGAAGCAAACAGCCAATCAGAGTAAGGTGGGTGCTCGTCCGGCTTAAATGCATGCTCTGTTTGTAGAGGGTGAGAAAAGATGGCAGGCAATCTAAACTTCCGTTGAAGTAGTGGAAAGGCGCTAATGAGTCTTGCTTTACTTATGAGGGGCATAGTGTATAGTTGGCAATGTTCCCTCTAAGCTGTGGAGTCTTGTGAGCAAAAATTCTACTTTGTGAGCTACTGGCATTAAAGCTGTGAGCGAGCGATTTGGCTTACTGCATACTTCCTGAGCTAAGGCAAAAATGTGTGAGCCGGAGGCTAAAAAACTGTGAGCTAGCTCACACTAACTCAGCTTGGAGGGAACACTGGTTGATATCTCTTTCTTTATACTGGAAGTTAGAGTCCAACACGTCGGCACAGGCTGGGGTTAGAGTTTTGTCCCGCAGGGTTCCTGTGCGTGGTCAAATATTCTATCGCTTCCTCTGTACCGAAAGCTGCACCCGTTGAATTTCTTCCTGCCATCTTTCTTCCCAGAAGACACTAGCAGGGGGAGGTTTCAGGAATGTGGTTGGATGCTGGACATAATGGACCACTAGGGTTGCCAGGTCCGGGTTTGGAAACACCTGGAGAATTTAGGGGTGGAGCCCTAGGAGGGCGGGGTTTGGGGAGGGGAGGGACTTCAGTGGGTTATAATACCAAAGAGTCCACCTTCCACAGTGGTCATTTTCTCCAGGTGAACTGATCGCTGTCTGATCGGATTCCACGTGGAGGTTTGGAGGTTGGCAGTCTTATGGACCATGGGCTGGTCTGACATAGCAGGGCTGCTCTTATGCGGTGGCCAAAGGCATAAGAGTCCTACCAAGAAGGGAAATGGTAGCATTTATAGGGCTGCCAACCTCCAGGTGAGGCCTGGAGATCTCCCAAAATTACAACTGATCTCCATACTGCGAACATCAGTTTCCTTGCAGAAAATGACTGCTTTGGAGGGTGGACTGTATGACATTATATCTTACTAAAGTCCCTCCCCAATCTTTGCCTTCCCCAGGCTTCACCCTCCAGGAATTTCACAAGCTGGATCTGGTAACCCTAGAGGATGTTTACTGTGGTAACAGGACTGAAAGAGTACGGAAGAACACTCATTAGCTGTTGTACATTTTCCGGGTGTTTCACGGAAATGTTTCCTAATGTGTTTCCTAACATGTGTTGACAGCCTTAACTGCTGGTGCCCTCAATGGAAACCTCTGCTCTCTTTCACATTTTATATGTTTAATTCATCAAGTGGAAGTATAGGAAACAATTTCTTATATATATTATTTACACTGATAGCATCATAACTATGTGTTATGTTTTACAAAGAACAGTTCTCATGAGGCAATCCTAGGGACGGTAGCGTCCAGGTGGGACCTGGGGATCTCCCAGAATTACGGCTCTTCTCCAGGCTACGGAGATCAGTTCTCCTGGAGAAAAGGGATGCTTTGGAGGGTGGGGTTTGTGGCATTTTACTGCACTAAGGTCCCTGTCCTCCCCAGGATCCATCCCCAAATCTCCAGGAGTTTTCCTACCTGGAGCTGGCAACCCTACCCACCCCATCCCCCACTGGTGGCCGGGGGGACCTGGCAACCCTAGTCTATATCGATATCTTGTAACACAAAGTAAAATGAAACCTTTGAACTCGAACCTTTCTACCCTGTGCCTTTTTTCTGGTAGTGAGTTGGATCCCATGGGTCCCTTTTATTAGGAGTAGCACTTTCCTCTGGAGCAAGGAGACATTCCCTAATGTTCATGTCAAGGGAATACCCTGACTGCTTTCTCATTACCATGTGCTTAATATAAGGACAAACATTAAGAAGGAAGGTAAATGGACAATAGGGGTACTGTGAAATCTTTATTAATGAGCATCAATGAAAAGCCAAAGTTTCTGCACACTGTTTTCACTTTTTTAAGTGAGGTATGCACGTGAGAATGCATTGTACAAATGCAACATTTTTTTTTTCAGGGACGCACAAGACTTCAGGGGGAGAGCCTGAGAAGTTGGACCACATCACAACAGAGACGTTGAACCATCAAGCATGTAAGTGTCCCTCAAACATTTCAGAAAAGTTTGTCTTTTGTGGCAAGATTTGTAAGAGAAAACGGAGGTTATGTTCCAATGCTGTTAAACACCTGACCATCATTCCTAGTCTAGTTCAGCTAATGGTTCCATTCCCAGTCATATTTGTGCTACAGGAAAACAAGCAAAGGTTATTTTTAAATGGTATTTATTGAAATTCATGACATATATCAACATGCCAGTTGTAGTCAGGAAAGATATGGCTGAGTTCAGCCACCAAAACAATTGAATAAAGTATATTGCTGAGTGTATCCCAGATCCCAAACTCTTTCCTTTCTAACCACCCCCAATCTTTTATCCTTTTTCTCTGAACTGTCTGGGTCTATTTCCTTTTGCACTTTGCCCTGTATTCTTCCACAACTGCCTAGACTTTTATGCTGTAAATGAGCATCATTCAATATTCAAAGCATTCACTTATTTGGTTTTAGCTTCTTTGGTCATCTTGAGAAACAGAAGGCAAATCTGTATTTGAAAAAACCAAGCAGAAGGGATACATTTTAGAGAATTAAAATTAACAATAGCCCACAACCCTCCCCCCAAACATAACTAACAGCTTTTTGTACCCTCTGAAGGTACCTATATAAAGGCCCCTTTATAGATCTGTGGATCTTGTTTAGGGTTATCAACTTTTTCTTATAACTCAGGAAGAAGCTGCTGTGCCTTTAACCTGCAGTCAAGTGTTAAAATTCCAGTGCTGTATTTCTGCTGGCCATATGAGAGTCAAAGACACAGGAGCCTTGTTGGAAGAAGCTGGCAACCCAGCAATTATTTCGTTCTCATTTGGTGTAGGTTTTGTAAAACATGCATTAAAAAACCTTTCCCTTACATATGTAATGCTCAGAAAGTTCCCCCATGTTGTTTAGAACATACTGACGCAGAAAGTTAGAGCGTTAAACTTGTTTTTGAAGAGCTCTACAGAGGCTAGAGAGGAAAAACTGGAGATGAAGGTAAGGTTAGACTATTGCAGGAAGGGAAAGTTGATAAGGAGGCGTCACTGGAGAAATCTTGAAAAGTAAGACTAGCAAGTTCCCGATCAGCTAAAGACAAGAGATTTGAAAAGTCCAGTGACACTGAAGGTGTGCCCAAATGGGCATCTTGAACAGAGTGATTGGAATTGTCCAGCATGGCATGAAAGACAAAATCAGAAACATCCAGGGAACTTGAGGAAGATGACCCAGAAGAATCTTGAGATGTAAAAACATTAATATTGGTGAGGTCTAGTGAACCTGAGGACGATGATGAGGAGATGAGGTCAGAATCATCCAGAAAGTGTGACGAGTCTATGGAAGAGAAGGCCTGTATGTCTGAAGAGATGTAGCTGGACAATTCCAGGGAAGATGGCGTGGTAGGATCAGAAAAATCCAGAGAGGTTGAAGAAGCAAGACTGGACAAGGAGACTGAAGAGCTGAAACTAGAAAGGTGCGGGAGAGAGGCAGAAGAAGCGAGACTAGAAATGTCCAATGATGTTGAAGAGCTGAGGCTGGAACGTTCCCAGGAAGCAAAAGATGCAGGACTGGAGAGGTCCAAAGAAACCGAAGTAGAGGTGCTGGAGAAGTCTAATGAGGATGGACTTGAAAGCTCTGGAGATGACAAAGAGGCACGACCAGAGAGGCCCAAAGAGGATGAAGTGGTATCACTGGACCAGTCCCAACACTCTGATGAACTGGAGCTGAAGAGGTCGAGTGGATCTGAAAAGACAAATTGGGATGCAATTTCCAAGGAGGCCAAAGACTCAAGGCCTGAACGGTCCAGGGAAGCAGAACAGACGGCAGCAGAGAGATCCAGGGAGGCAGGAGGTCCAACTTACAAAAGATGGATCCACAACCTGATTTAGTGGTTTTGTAACATCTCGGGTAGGTTTAGCATTTTCATCATTTAAGATATTTTGATTTCTAAACTAGGAAAACACAAAAATGAGAACAGTTATTTTAAACCAATTATTATTTCTGACATGGAAAAACGTCAGTTCTCTTTCAAGGGTATTAAAAAACACAAACAAAACTAAACATGAGCACATCACATACATCAAGCTGATTATACTGAATCAGACCATTGGCCCATCAAAGTCAGTGTTGTCTCCTCACACTGGCAGCAGCTCTCCAGGGTTTCAGCCAGAAGTCTTCTACATAATCTACTGCCAGAGGTGGGCATTGAACTGGAGGTGGTGGGCATTGAACCTGGGGCTTTCTGCATGCCAAGCAGATGCTCTACCACTGAGCCACAGCCCCTCCCTGGGAAGTAGGTTGCTATGGAAACACAGTGGGTTTGTCACCTGCCAGTGGGCTCTGCTGATGGCAGTGCATCCCAACGCTAAGTGGTGTGAAACCAAAAAACCACAAATAAGTGTCAGTTAAATCCAGTTTTGCCTCTAACCATGCATAAAGTTTGGTCCATATGCACACAGAGAACTCTTTGGTGTGTGCAAACTGTACTCATGGAATAGTTTCTTCATCCATTGCCAGTAAAAAACAAACAAACACAGATCGGATGTCATCACATTGCAGTGACCCCCTAGGAATCCTGCTGATTTCTATAAAGTTTGGTCCATATGCACACAGAGAACACTTTGGTGTGTGCAAACTGTATTCATGGAATAGTTTCTTCATCCATTCCTTCATCCATTGCCAGTAAAAAAAACACAAAACAGATTGGATGTCATCACATTGCTGTGACCCCCTAGGAATCCTGCCAATTTCTATGACTTGACCATAGAGGTCTGGGGGAATCCTAGAGCATCCCTTCCAGTTTTTAAGCCAGAAATGATGCTGCGGCATTGTGCAAT